GTGCATGCTTGTGCAATGTGCTTAGAATCTTAGAAGGTTTGACATTTTAGCGCCATAGAAATGTAGGGTAGTGGGGCAGGTCTACTGACTTCCGCAATCGACCGCCACATTTCCTTTGAGTTGGGAAAGGTATGAAAGGTGCTTGCGCTTTGAGACTGGATGAGCCTGGAATTTTCTGGCACTCAACCTTTTTTAAAACATTTTTCAGTGTTTGAGTCCTGGAATGGGTTATATCAGTTATAGAATGGGCTAGCGCCCTGGTGCCGCCGACCCCCCTATTTGGGGGGTCCTAAAGAGAGAGGGAGAGAGAGAGAGAGAGAAGCGGCATGTAGCTGTAACAGTTGTTGCCTTGGAGGCCTGCGGAAGCGTTTCGGGGGTTTGAGGCCGGGCAAACGGCAGTCTTGAACCCCCTGAAAAACAGATGGCAGGGGCATGTAGCTGTAATAAAAGTTGTTGCCTTGGAGGCCTGCGGAAGCGTTTGGAGGGTTTGAGGCCGGGCAAACGGCAGTCTTGAACCCCCTGAAAAACAGATGGCAGGGGCATGTAGCTGTAAGAGTTGTTGCCTTGGAGGCCTGCGGGAGGGTTGGAAGCGTTTGGGGGGTTTGAGGGCGGGCAAACGGCAGTCTTGAACCCCCTGAAAAACAGATGGCGGGGGCATGTAGCTGTAAGAGTTGTTGCCTTGGAGGCCTGCGGAAGGGTTGGAAGCGTTTGGGGGGTTTGAGGGCGGGCAAACGGCAGTCTTGAACCCCTGAAAAACAGATGGCAGGGCCTTGGAGGCCTGCGAGAGGGTTGGAAGCGTTTGGAGGGTTTGAGGACATGTAGCTGTAAGAGTTGTTGCCTTGGAGGCCTGCGAGAGCGTTGGAAGCGTTTGGGGGGTTTGAGGACAGGCAAACGGCAGTCTTGAACCCCCTGAAAAACAGATGGCAGGGGCATGTAGCTGTAAGAGTTGTTGCCTTGGAGGCCTGCGGAAGCGTTTGGAGGGTTTGAGGCCGGGCAAACGGCAGTCTTGAACCCCCTGAAAAACAGATGGCAGGGGCATGTAGCTGTAAGAGTTGTTGCCTTGGAGGCCTGCGGGAGGGTTGGAAGCGTTTGGGGGGTTTGAGGCCGGGCAAACGGCAGTTTTGAACCCCCTGAAAAACAGATGGCAGGGGCATGTAGCTGTAAGAGTTGTTGCCTTGGAGGCCTGCGGAAGGGTTTGGAGGGTTTGAGGCCGGGCAAACGGCAGTCTTGAACCCCCTGAAAAAGCAGATGGCAGGGGCATGTAGCTGTAAGAGTTGTTGCCTTGGAGGCCTGTGGAAGCGTTTGGAGGGTTTGAGGCCGGGAAAACGGCAGTCTTGAACCCGCTGAAAAACAGATGGCAGGGGCATGTAGCTGTAAGAGTTGTTGCCTCTTGGAGGCCTGCGGAAGGGTTTGGAGGGTTTGAGGCCGGGCAAACGGCAGTCTTGAACCCCTTGAAAAAGCAGATGGCAGGGGCATGTAGCTGTAAGAGTTGTTGCCTTGGAGGCCTGCGGAAGGTTTGGAGGGTTTGAGGCCGGGCAGACGGCAGTCTTGAACCCGCTGAAAAACAGATGGCAGGGGAATGTAGCTGTAAGAGTTGTTGCCTTGGAGGCCTGCGGAAGCGTTTGGAGGGTTTGAGGCCGGGCAAACGGCAGTCTTGAACCCGCTGAAAAACAGATGGCAGGGGCACGTAGCTGTAAGAGTTGTTGCCTTGGAGGCCTGCCGAAGCGTTTGGAGGGTTTGAGGCTGGGCAAACGGCAGTCTTGAACCCCCTGAAAAACAGATGGCAGGGGCATGTAGCTGTAAGAGTTGTTGCCTTGGAGGCCTGCGGAAGGGTTTGGAGGGTTTGAGGCCGGGCAAACGGCAGCCTTGAACCCGCTGAAAAACAGATGGCAGGGGCATGTAGCTGTAAGAGTTGTTGCCTTGGAGGCCTGCGGAAGCGTTTGGAGGGTTTGAGGCCGGGCAAACGCAGTCTTGAACCCCCTGAAAAACAGATGGCAGGGGCATGTAGCTGTAAGAGTTGTTGCCTTGGAGGCCTGCGGAAGCGTTTGGAGGGTTTGAGGCCGGGCAAACGGCAGTCTTGAACCCGCTGAAAAACAGATGGCAGGGGCATGTATAGCTGTAAGAGTTGTTGCCTTGGAGGCCTGCGGAAGGTTTGGAGCGTTTGAGGCCGGGCAGACGGCAGTCTTGAACCCCCTGAAAAACAGATGGCAGGGGCATGTAGCTGTAAGAGTTGTTGCCTTGGAGGCTTGAAAAACGGATGGCAGGGGCATGTAGATGGCCGGGGCATGTAGATGGCTGGGGCATGTAGCTGACAGAGTTGTTGCCTTGGAAAGGCGCGTGCCTTTGCTTGCGACCAGAGAGCCAAGTTCCACACCTCCGGTGGTCCCAGGCGCCGCCCCTGCCTTGGCAAAAGCCGGGGTCGGCGGATATACACAGTGTATATCCATTATGGTTGGATTCTCATTGATCCCATGAAACTGTGCTAATTATGGACCATTGGTGTGTGTATATATATATATATCGAACTTACATGATCAGAAATTTTTAGGGATATTATATACACACATATATTGGTTACCAATGATAATTATTCGAATGATATATATATATATATATGTAATATTATACATATACATATATTGATGTGAAAATTTGTTTGATAGATGATCGGGATTTGTAAGATGTGCTAAACAAATTATTTTCCTGGCAAACGTACGAACCACCTCTCCAAAGCATGGGCAAAATATCGAAGAATCCCAAGCTTCAAAAAGACAAAATCATCAGGGTCCGGAAGACAACAACAGGGTGTGACTGATACAACCAAACTGCCAACCTGTAGATCCATGGGTTGCGGGAAGGTGAGAAAAGGTCTTCTCTGTTTGATGTAGTCTTGTTTGCTTGTCCTCAAGGTTTGGAATTTGATGCGTAATTCTAGTCCCCTATATAGTATACGGTATAGATCAGCAGCATCTTGTACGGACTCACTATATGCTGAGAGCCCCTTTCTTGATCCCTACTCCCATGTTTGAAACCCGATATATTTGTATGGGGTCCGTGTGGAAGGCATGCATCAATCGGTGTTCTACTATCAATGGTCCATTCATGTAGATAGAATGGAGTTACCATGTCATGTAAACCATAGATTGAAATTTAGGCCTTACATATCTTACATTGCCTTCAAATATGCTAAGTACCTCTGATTTGGGTACCTGAATTTTCCTTCATCAAATGGGTCTGGTTGAAAATACAGAGGTCCCAAATTCCAATTACCAGTTGTTTTTCCCAAAATTACCATTCAATTTATTGGGGTATACCGAATCTTGAACACATCCGTGCATATTGATATTGGTGTATATCAGTGTCATATCCTATGATACTGTCTGGCAATTTAACGTCGCTATTGAACATTGCCCATTTAATTGATGACTTATAAAACATGTTGATTTTCCATGCAATGTTAAATTCCCAGATGGTAATTCCCATTAAAACCCATTAAAGTCCCGGTAAAATCATAGTTAAATCCCAGGAAAACCCCAGTAAAATAGTAAAATCCCAGGAAATTCCCATGACATCCCAGTAAAATCCGAGTAACATCCTAGTAAAATCCCATGAAATCACCATATCTTGATGGTTTTTCATCTCTCCATCACCCTGTTGAACCCTCCTGAGGTGGCCTATGCCCTACTTCTGCTTTTGCTCATAGCAGAGCTGCGAGCCTTCCTCAGGAGAGGTGAAGCTTGTGAGCAGCTAGCCGTGGCTGCGATCTACCGGCAGGGTTGATAGGGGATGAAATACTACCTTTGATTCATATGGGTATGGATCAATACCTATTAATACCATTTTTAGATATTTTTAGGAGGATTAACATCCATAAATCCCAGCTATTTTGATGTTCACCAACCAGGGGTACAAGGTTTTGACACACTGCCAGATGGCAAGATGATCATAATCATCATAATCCACGAACAATCCCTATATATAAACTCTTTGAAGCAACCAGGGTTCAACGGAATGACATAGGCATTAGCATGGCATTGAAAGCATTGAAACCATATGAAATCATCAAGATGTACTGCGGAAAAAAGCATTAACAAAAGCACAAACATGCATTTGTACTGTAAAAAAAGGAACATCAATCAAGACAACAAAACATTGATGTGATGTTTCTGATATCAGACCTGTGATGTGTTTTTGAGAAGGGCTACTCAATTGCAGAATGAAAGTGCGGCGCAGGAAACTGAGATTCGTTGGCAGTTTCGATGTTTTTTTTAAACGCCGGAAGCGTGCGGAAGCGTGATACATCATGATACATCCCTGCAGGAAGAACTACCAGACCAACATCATCATGGATCAGAATAATGACTCTTGACTGCATCGACGTTTTCAAAATCTTCGGCGAATTTCAGCGAAATTCGCCGGTGAATTGTGTGTGTGAATTGCACCTTGACAGTACCCCCATCATGCCGTAGGTACACGTATCGGGTTTATTACGGTCATGAGTCTGGGTAAATGAGCGGAATTTTGCCCACAGGGATGTTTATAGATCTGATAAGAAAACATAGTGAGGTCAGATCACTTTCCAGAAAAAAAATGGTGATCTCGAGATGCAACATTTTGACGCCTGGAAATAAAGGGGGACAGATCCTCCATGTCACATCCTTGATCTTGTTGTCGATCGTTTTGGTGATCTATAATCCATCTAAGATCATCCAGTTTTGCTGAAGTTGAACAAATTTGAACCTGCCATATTGTATACATATATATATGGTATACGTATTATCTTGTACAACGACTGTGTCTGAAGAGAACTTTCATCCTCCATCACGGCCAAAAGAGGTCAACGACAGCTTCAGGTTCAATGGCTGCCACTGGTTTTTGGAGGTTTCCGAAAAAAGGGCTAGCCCCAAATCATCCATTCTCGTAGGATTTTCCCGTATAAACATGTATAAACCATCTATTTTAGGGATCGCCCATTGATGGAAACCATTTTTTGGCTCAGGATGAGTTGATCCAAATCAATTTTGACATCCTGATGTACGACTTGCCGTTTGCCTGGCCGCACTTGACAGCTGGTTGCCAGATGGCAAGTCTGATATGATATGGATATATTGATATATGATGATATTATATATACATAAAAAATAACATAACATAACATAACACAACATATTATACTAGATTAGATCTAATGATTAGATAATATATTCATATCGCTGGTATTTCGGCTATTTCGTTGCTTGGACTTGTTGCATCACGTGGACTCTGCTGAGCTAGCTCTGCGGGCACGCCGGCACGTATCGTGTATAGTCAGCCTGGAGATAGAACATGGAAATGACAAAAACACATCACTAAGATGGGACTATCTATGAATCTGTGAATATCTTTGAAACATCCATATTATACCTACTTCAGGATGATTATATGATACATGTATATACCGAAGCGAATACTAGCAACGCAGCCAGGTGCAAGTACTTGAAGATCGGCGTTTGGGATCGATTTGGAGAAGAAAAAATCAACAGCACTGATCAGCTGGGGCCCCAGGGGGCCCCAGCGCCGAAGGGAGAGGATTTGCAGTGTGTAGATGTCTGGGGGGTTCAAATATGCCTCGTTTGTTGAGTTATATAATAATAATGGGATGATAATATCCACAGATTGAATGGAAGGAATCATGTAATATCCTATAATGGATATTATTATATTATTATATTTTCTGGATATTACTTGGGATGATAGCCAGATGTGCCATCCTTTTCCGGTCCCAATCTGGGAGGCTTTCGCATAAACATGATAAATTTTTGGACCCCAAAACAGAAACAATCCATTTTCCCAGCCTTCTGATCATCAGATTCTTGAAAGGATTTTCCCAATCCGTGATGAACCCAAGTGATCATCCTCAGCCCCACGAATTCGACGGCAGGTTTCATTACATCCCTGTGGATCACAAGGGCCAGTACAAGGGCATGGCCCGGTGCTCAGCAGAGGTGGCAACAATACAAGCGTAAGGTACAGAATGCCACTGAACCATGTTTTTTTAGTGATGTCTCAACATGTTAATGATATTCCATTATCTCCAATTTCGTGTGGTTGATATGGTGCCTATATGCAATATATATATATATATATATTAGATGTGTGTTCATATGACAAATCACGATAGAGTATCCATTGTATCCGTTGTGTCATATTAATTATATATATATACCTTATGTTATAATTATTGTTCATTTTCCTGACAGTTTATTTATTATTGTATGTGATGACTATTCTATTGTAGATATACACATTGTGTAACATCAGTGATTCTATGTGAAACTATTTACATTCAACATAGTTATTTGTTCAATGTATGTACTGTAGTAGACATGACCAGCACTATGATCCCAACATGTGCCCTCAACCCACGGCGGGAAAGTTTTAGGCCTACAGCAAAGAGGAGATTGCCCTCTTGGAACAGGCGGCGGCATGAGACAAACTGTTGGGCAAATGGTATATGGTACCCTCTGGTCAACAGTTTGCTATCAGGGGCAACGGCCCATTTATAGATGGTGGTTTCCTGAAATAGGGGTACCTCCAAATCATCCATATAAATGGGATGTACATTATAAACCAACCATTTTTGGATACCCCCATTTATGGAAATCCCCAGGTGATAAACCTGATGATTTCCCGATGAAAATGGTCGATTTGGGAGATGACATACAAAATCCACGATACAGAACCGTTGGATGCCCCGACGCTCTGTCAAATACTGTTGGGTCATGCTTGGATTTCTATGATCTTAACCTGAAGTACGTTGTAAACGCGAGAATGAAACAGTAGCAGTCCCGCATACCCAAATTCCGACAGCCTAGCAGTTGCATTGAACAAATTCTTGGCATCTACCCTCTGGTTATTTGATACATAGCCATGGAAGCCATGGCCCATAGAAATAGATGGTTTACCTATCACAAATGGTGATTTTCCATGGCTAACTGTTAGTCATAACCATGTTAGTCATAACCAAATGGTAAAACCAGTGGTGTTCTCCTCTTCCAGCAGTTACTAAAAACGCTCTGTTCAAGGCGGATCTGAATTCAGATGTCTCTGATGCCGAGAAGAAAGAACTGGACGCGGATTGGTAGGGACACCTGGGAGCCATGGATGGATGGTTTCTGGAATGTCTAGGATATACCCTCTGTTAAACTAAGATAACTATGGAAAATGGCCATAGAAATGGTTGATTTACCTAGTAAAAATGGTGAATTTCCATAGTCATGTTAGTTTACCAGAGGGTATATTGGAATGAAGTGAAATGAGTGTCAGTAGCAAAAATGAGACTCACTGTAAGAAACATGATACTTTTAGCAACATCATGTCCAATTTCATCAATATTCGCATCACATACCGACCTCCTAGCCAAACACTCGGGAAGAACAGACATTTGATGGCCTGAAGTTTGTTGGTCCGAACAAATAGTCAACAGAAACATTCAATCCATATGTGTTGTTGCTCTGATCCTGTAAAAAACATGTCTACTTCCTTTCAGGAGAAGCAAATGCATCTGGAAGCGAACCATGTGCAGATCAGTTCCCAGTGAAAAAACATAGTTTGTTTATGTGTTTTTTTCCTCCATAGCTATCTGAGTTTACTGGAGGATAAGTTCCTCACGGAATAGCGAAAAGCCAACTTAAATAGTTCCGATTAGATACAAACCATTACAAGCCCCAAAAAGATAGGTCGAAAAGTCACCAATGTTTTCAAATAGCCATGCATTGCTGTTCTATCTTTTTTTGATTACCATATGGAGGTTTCCAAAAATGGTGGTACCCAAAAAAATCATCCATTTCAAATTTCAATCGAATTTCATTCTGAATCATCCATTTTCTGGTGGTTTCAAACATGAATTTTTATGTTCCATAATATATATCATATATATATATATATTGTTTATTATATATTATATATTTGGGAATAATCCTTCCCATTGACTCATATTTTTCAAGAGGTTTATTGCAGCAACCAGATCTTGGTGCATCCCGATTTCTGGAAACCATGGAAGATGGTCGGTTTAGGTCCTCCTCCAGTGACAACTTCAAGCACCAGGCAGGCGTACCGAAACTGGGATTCCTATGAAACACTGGAAATAATGGGGATTACCCTCAGGTAAACTAACATGACTATGGAAAATGGCCATTTATGGTTGATTTACCTAGTAAAAATGGTGAATTTCCATAGTCATGTTAGTTTACCAGAGGATATAAGGGGACAAACAATCAACTAGTGCAGGATTTCGCAACCATCCACAAAATTTCATGTAAATCATAATTTATAAATCTAATCATAGTTTGCAGAAGATAGAAAAGTACAGTGATCATTTGCCAACAGAATAAAGCTTCTAAAGCTCACAGGTTACAATGATCGTAGTTTTCTCACCAAAGAGATAGAACAGTAATTCCCTATTGAAATAGTGATATAGTTCACTGTTCTATTTTTTGGAGATGACTGTAAGGTATATATATATATATATAGAATTACATGATTAATGGATGATGATGGGATGTAGAAACCAGCGTATGGCAATCAAACTTTGAAATCCACAAGCAAATGGAGGTTTTTCCAGGAACCCATGTTTCAATAGCGGAGAGTACCCCATAATTTCCAGCTTTCCATGGTGTTTTTCGATTTTTTTGGCAACTCACAACTTGCAGGGCCTATTGAGCCTATTTTGTGGGAGTGACATCTCTATAGGTGAGTTGTTCAAGATTTGGCAATTTTCATGGGACGACTCCCTATGATTTTAGTATCACAGGTTGGTTAGATGTGCCATTTACAGTGTGGTTCAAAGCCATTGTCAGTTCAGCTAGTTCTAGGATGTTCTAGGATATTCCCAGTTGTTGTTCCATAGATAGACAAAATAACTATACTCAATGGCCATGCAACAGGAACCGATTTATTGGAGGTACCTACCAAATATTTTTGGCCTTTTTTTTTCAGGCCTAAATTTCAGGGGATATACCCTCTGGTAATTTAACATAGCTATGGAAAATCACCACTTTTAATAGGTAAATCCACTATAAATGGTCCATTTTCAATAGCTTTTTGTATGTTTACCAGAGGGTAGCCCCAATTCATAGCTCTGCAAAAAACACCCTCACAGGCTTGATCGTACATCGATTACATCGACTCTCAGACCTCGGCCATGAGAGGGGTATCGAATGTCCATCTCCTGTTTTTTTGGTGCTTTAAATTTGAACAGGCCTCAATTTCGATTCATATGGCCCTATTATATAAGTACCTTAACAGGCCATACTGTAACAGCCCTATTTTAAGGCCTATTTGAATATGGCTCAATTTGTTCTTTGGCCATATGGGTATGGATCAATACCTATTAATACCAGCTATTTAGGGGAATGAACATCCATAAATCCCAGCTATTTTGATGTTCACAAAAGGGGTACCAGGGTTTTGACCCATCCCCATATTTTAAGGATTTTTAAGGTCCTTGAAACATCTTTAGACCTACAAATCCTACGAGTTGCATGAAACGCTGGGCCCTGTGGATGGGCCGGCTGTGGCGTTTGTTCAAATGGGATTGGCACGGATGGACTGGAGCCCAGCAATTATTGTAAGGTACTTATATACTATATATATATGTATAAATAAATATGATATATATATATATATGTATTTTAATATATACCTAGATACTACTAGATACTGTAGCTATCACCCAACATCTCTTAAATTTTGGGTGTACAATTTTCTGAATGGCTCTTAGACCAATAAAATATGTGGAATGGACCATGGACCCCCCAAGTTTCTACCGTGAAATTGCAGAAAACATTACCATACATTTCCCGGTACATATGGGTGTGTCTGAAAATAGTGTACCCCTAAACCCAATGGTTAATGATCATTATCCCTATTAAATGGCTATTTATTTGTTTGGGAATATACCCTATTTTCAGACAAACCCATATCGTCCCCTTCAAGACCTGATTTGGCGGGCCATGGCTCGCCATGGCGCCAGGACTTTCATGCAGCCGTGACTTTCCATGACTTCACCTTGGTGCGCGGGACCCACCTGGACCCACCTCCCGAAATCGCAAGAGAATCAGTGGACCTTTTCACTGTTCAGAGTTGGGACCCTTACCCTCTGGTAAACATACAAAAAACTATGGAAAATCACAATTTTTAATGGGAAAACTCACTATAAATGGCAATTTTCAATAGCTATGTTAAATTACCAGAGGGTAAGTTAACCATATTTCGAATCCATTTCGCAATTCAAATCCAATCACTTCAAATTTGAGATCTCCACAGAAATTGTGAACTTGGTTGGTTTCAGTTTTTCGAACTCAGACGTCAAACAACCGAGGCCCTTTGTGATGGTCAATGCTGGGCAGAAACTATATAGAAAGGGCATTGAATCTGATTAAATCAACCTTGGGAATTGTGATCAAATATCCAGATTGAGAAATTGCCTGCCAGAAATTGCCCTTTTGAGCCTTTTGAGATCATCAGTTCACCATAGTTCACCAAAAAGGCAGAGGTGAAAACACTCCCACAGTAATCTTTGCACGCAAATGCATACATATACTTGAATTGTGCGCGTAATAGAATTACACATTCACACTTGGAGATGTGCTGAGTGCTGATTCACTCCCAAAATACCATTATATTTAGACGTTGTTGCTGTGTATAGGAAGTGTAGTCATGTGTAGTCCCCTTGTGACGTGGCACTTTCATGTTGGGATTCTTCAGCAGAAAACCTGCCCGGCTGCATCAGCTTCTTGGATTGGAGGTGGCAAGGGATTTGAGCCAAGGCAGTCGCAAGCTAGAGACATTATTGGAAATGAGGCTGGATTGCCATATAAAAGAAGGTTCAATCCCAGTTGAAAGATGGCTGGCAACACAAAATGAGAGGAGTAACATTGCCTGAGAATCTGGCTGGTCATTTTTCACTTTTCAGAAAGATAGTTTTTTTAGCAACAGACATCCAGGAAGAGACAGCTACAGGGGCACCTCAGTATTCTAGGTAGCCAGTGGACGCTATGATATAACCATGTTATTTTCCATATATGGTATAGGAAAAAAATGTATATAAATGTATATAATTAATGACCGTGGCCCACTAATATATCCAGTAATAACATTTAAATTTAATTAATCCATTAATATATCCTATGAGTTCAGTGGATTTCTTAGGTGAATCTCAAAGGGTTTTCCACGCGTTGCCACGGTGCCATGGGTTGCAAACAATCTCGTGATAGTCTGAGAGCCCAGAGGGATAGAGGGATGCGAAAAGTGCCTGTAAATCAAACGTGCAGTTGGTCGTATACATTCAGATAATCAATATCGTTACTCATAAAACATATATGAGATTATATGAATATAGATATAACTTGATATAACCAGTATATAAGACGGATATAAACATCAAACATAATAGAAGCTGAATGGTCCAGATGAAATGGTACATGTTTGACCCATTCTTTCTGGGTCCTCTCTTTGTTGATCACAGGGATTCACATGCCACCTTTGGTCTAGCGGGAGTCTAGCCATATTATAGGTTTGATGCCTATGTTCGATTCATTTTTGGAAGGGTGAATAATCCATAATCATCCAACAAAAAAGCACTCTAAGAGGTTTGGGCAAAATACAACCAGTCTATCCTTTTCTTAGTATACTGAGATATACTGAGAGTCAGCCGACATGCCTGTCAAAGATGGCGCGACAAACCTTAGAAATCCTACTAGCTCCAAGGGATGCCCAGAAGCAGGCTTTCGCTGCGATACCCAGATATGATTGAAAGATGGAAGCTGTCTCCGACCTGTCTGACAGGCATGATCCAACTTTGACATACACATACAATCACATACAATCACATACAATCATGATATTAATCATGATTATCTTGTTCACAGTTTGGATGACACATGACAAGTGATCGTGGGAAGTATGAAGTTTCTTGGAAATTCGATGGTGCCCTAGCAGATGCTGCGTTTCTGTTCTGTGTTGACAAGGGCATAATGATCCCAACTGGGCCAGATCTCTCAATCGCATTCGATGGCCTGGCTGCAGTCTCCAAAACATGGCCGTGACGAGGTCCCAAAACACCCTATGAAGCCAATGAGCTATCGCAGGAGGTGGCAGCCGGGTCAACCCTTTGGTCATAAATAGGAATACATCAACTGGATTCAACTGGCTCATCCAAGGAGATTGTGGCCCAGATGTTTCTTCTGACCGTTTTGTGGGGGCGCCATGGTTATTGTACAATGCGTGGCATGTGTCTTTTTTGGTTAGGCCCTGAATTTGCTCTAGAGTTAGGGATTAAATTGCCAGTGTTGATGATTTGACAAGGGTGTTGTTGTCTACTAAAATCCAAGGGGTTTCGTTGGTGATATACCCTCTGGTAAACTAACATAACTATGGAAAATCACCATTTTTAATGGGAAAATCCACTATAAATGGCCATTTTAAATGGCTATGTTAAATTACCAGAGGGTACCCCTGCAAAAAAATGATAATGTTGATGATGAAACACACTTTTTAACAGGTGGTTTGCGGAGCTAAGCACCGACACACGCTAATTTTCTCACATCAGGTATGCTGAACAAAAAACTCTACCAAGCACATCGCTAGAAAGAACTAGACAGTTGATTAAGCTCAGCTTATTTTTCAGTTGATTATTTTTTTGCTATTACCTGTTGCGTAAGTAATTCAAACCAATTTGGTTAATATACCAATATTACCCAGAGGACCGTTTAATTGTTCACATCCACGACTTCCAGCTAAATTATTGAGTGAAAAATAGCCACGATACCACAGGGAGTACTGACAACGACAACCATAAAGCAACTGATCGATTGAATGTGTTGCATATGGGTTTATATAAATACACTTACGATGTATATATATATATATATGTAATTATACATAATATATATATATTGCCATAATCCTTTACCCACACTGGTCGTCCAATGCGAGGCTGGCGCAGTCGGGACAGGATTGTTGGAGGTACCGGTGGATGACTATCTGTCGGGCAGCACAGCCCACTGGGTCGTTGATAGAGGGTTCCCCCCAAACAACCGATAGGTAGATCAAATTCAATGACAAACCGACCCCCTCGATTTTTCCTAAGAGGAGACTATGGGCGGGAGATGGTGGTGTTTGAGTTCGCTGGAGTTGGGTTAAGTCACTAGATTGACCAAGCTTTGTTTTGTGAATAGATAAAAATCTTATATGGTATTTAAGATATTCTATCGGAAAATTACGGCAATTTGTAATGCACAACACCACTCAACAGAGGGCTACCTTGCTGAATCCATTCAGAGTCAGACTAGTCGTGGGTCAAGGGTGGTGATTTTTTGACAATTCAATTGGTGAGAAATCAGCGCCAGTAGGTGACACCACTGACTTTGAACGGTCGTTGACTTTGTGAAGTTGGTTCATCTTGGATGGCTAGTTTGCTTGCGTCATCCTAAAATGGAAGCCTTGACAGTTCAGCATCATGTCCCCCGTGCCATTTCCGTGCCATTTCAATTGGGATATTCAACCCATGTTCATAACCATTGAATATACTTACCAATATTTCAATTGGGATATTCAACCCATTTGGGGTATTGGGATATATACACATTCAATTGTTCAGGTACCAAACCCCAAATACACAAATCATTGAATATGCTTACTGTAACTCCGTGTAAATCCCAAGTCTTGATGGTGAATTTCTCATTAAATTCTTGATGGTGAAAAAATAGCTAAACCACCCCACCTGAAATCCGCTGATTCATATAATTCATTGATTCCATTAATGGTTATTTGATGTTATTTGTGGTTATGTAATTTCCAATTCTTTGATAAATTCACAAGTTTCATATATTTTCATGGTTTAGATCTTAGATCTTCGTTCCAAATCAGGACTTACATCTACGGCTTGCGCAACGGCGACTTCGCTGTGGCCGGTGGTGAAGGCGCCAGGGTTTCACCAGGAACGAAGAAGTTCATTGCAACCCTCCCCCATTTCCTTTGGCGTGCTCAAATCCCAGTGTAAGGTCAGCGGTTTCTTTTTACAAAGCCTAAAAAGCAAGCATAGAACGAAATCCGAAAAGCCTATAACCATCATTAACCATCTAAAACATTCAAAAGCCCTAGAACCCTAACCCCAAAAAACCTAAAACGGCTTCAGTGATCTCATGTATGGTTGGTGTTGTTGTTTTATGATGCCTATATTATTGTTAACACCAACACAAGATGTAAACCAACATAACACTAACAATGTTGTTATTGTTTTATCATATCTCGTGTTTGTTTTCCCTTTTAGCTCTTTATGTTATTGTTGGTGTTGGTGGTGGTTATCATTATGTCAGCACCCTTTGAGCTGATGGAACCTGGAGTGCTCCATTCCATCCCATGGTTCAACATCTCGTTTGAGCAATTCCCAAATACCCCTGTGGAAGAATGATCTGTGGAATTCTACTGGCTGGTTCGAGAAAATTATCAACCCTTCTCGGGATCCCTATTTATCAGCGGAACCCATCCATAATTCCCTTTGAAAACTGCTTACCACTTTAGTTGGGAAAGCCCAGATCACCTGTGAGTTCCGAGCGCGGCCATTTCAGGTTGGCTGTACATCTATAGCAGCGAAGGGAAGCAGACGGTCAAGTCTGGATGCCTAGAGGAAAAAGAATAGGGGGACAAGTGGAAGAGAATCAAGGAAAACGCGGCAGACTTTTTTCCTGACAATGGAAAAGACAATTATGGGATGCATGAGCTTGTTTTCTCACTGGAAGTAGATCAGACTACTGAATACATGTTGTTTTTTGATATTCTTTTGTATCTCAGCATGTGTTGTATGATACTGTGGATGGTTGCGAATTCCTGCACCATTTGGTAGATGATTGATTCCATTATAATCCCGTTTGCAGCGTTTCATAGTTACCATGAGTTACAAACTAGTGCAGGATTTTCTCCATTCTCAGCATGAGGGTCTCAAAAGATATGTTGAAAAGCTGGTTGGAGGGCACCATAGCGATGGGGAAAGGTGGTTGGGGTCGTTTCTTGATCTACGGGTGGAGCTGGACATTCAAACTTTAAAGTGTCTTAGATTCCAAGACATAACAATACGTAGCGGTGTTTCAAGATGTTTCAGGGGTTGCACGTATCATCATCCACCTATGAAAATCGTATAAATATAGTAACATATTAATTAGACAAGCCGTTTGATCAGTAGCTGGGTGCTAGTGTGTTGAAGAACCAGTCGCTTGACGATTCGTTGCTTGTCAACATCTGTGTGGACATCATGTCCATGTCTACCGATATACCAGTGGTGCTCCAATATACTATATACAAAATGATAGTCACAAGTATCTGAACCGGAAACCATCGATTTTCCGATTAACCGATTAACTATGGGGCTTTCGTGTAAATGTTCCCTTAAATATCCACTAATAGGTGGTTTTATTTCTTTATCCACCCATTTTGCTCCCAGTATTTTTGCGGAGCTATCGTGGTCCCACTATGTCCCACTTCGTGAGTGGCCATGGAGTCACGTAGTGAGAGAAGTGCCACGACTTCAGAAGTAGCATGTTTACATCGGATGTAGTTTCTATACTATATGACAATAGTATACTATATTATATTATATTATGTTATATTCTACTGCACTTTATTGTAGCATGTTTTATTGTGTTATATTGTATCATATTATTGTAGAGCTTCGCACACCGGCAATGCCTGTAGGGGTCGGGGGAGGGAAAGAGAGAGGGGGATTTCATCTGAACTAGGGAAGGAGCAAGTTTTTGGATGTCAACCATTTGTAATCCAACTTGGGCCTGTCATTTGATTCTTGAACAGATTGGTGGGTCCTTCTTCTTTGAAATCATTTGTAACCCTTTGTACATCAGGGTGAGCCCGGCAGCTTGTGTTTTGAAGTGTCAGCACATACCAGCAACACATATTGAGGAAATCGGCGGTTCAGATGGCAGCAGAATCGGCGTTTCACGTTGGTTGAGGCAAGGAGTTGAAACGGACTCCAACCAACAGTTTTAGAAAGTCGTTTTGTGGTGAAATGTGGTCAAGCCTAGGAGATCGGGGCGTGGTTGGCTGTGGGGCTCAAGATGGCAGAAGAGTGCCAGGACTGTGGGCGGTGGTTCAAAGATGCCACCAGCCTAGCGCAACATACATGGGATAAGCATAGGTCCAAGCATTGGACTCAGTGCTCGCTATGCGCCACATGGGTCGAAGCTGGAAATGGCTTGAAACAACATCTCCGAGACAAACATGGTGTCTTGACAGCAATGGGGTTGAGGCATGGCGTGGTTCAAAGGTTTGGAGTGAAAGAAAAGGGACATTGTGAAGACGAAGTTTCAGGTTGACATGGATCAAGGCCAGCAAACTCTTTGCCGTCATTTTTCATTCAGCATAGCACGCGTAGATGGGTATACAAAACGAAGCTATCAGTGGTTGTAGTTTGGTGCACGAATGGGGACTGTGACGTGGCTTCGGGGGGCAAACATGCGGCTTGAGGTCAGAAGGACGTGAAAAGTGAAAAGTCCGAGAGCCCGAAAGGAAAGAAGCGAAGAAGACGCGAGAGGGGGCGGAGACGAGCGAAGGCTGTGCCGCAGAGTCGGTCGAGGCGGGGGATTTGAGATAGATGGACAGGTTGGAGGGGAGGGAGGGAGGGAGGGAGAGAGAGAGAGGGAGAGAGAGAGAGAGAGGCATTGACAGGCATTGACACAGGGACAGCCATATGTGTGCATAGATGGATCCATGTATTGGAGCATGGGTGTGACCAGGAGCAGGTACGGGTATGGAGATCAGCGTGGTCGCTATGAGTCGAGGCGTGGTGGGGTGGTGTGGAGGGGGGAGAAATACGTGCAACGGAGAGTTTGAGTGGAGGTGGAAGACGGACAGACGGGTAGGAGTGGAAAGGAGAGCCGGGGTGCAGGGGGCGGATGCAGGTCGCCGCAGCAGCGAACGCGGTCGGTTGCTTCCGAACGCGGTCGGGGTTGGGCTGAAGGTGGTTCAAAGTGGATGGTTTTGAGATAGAATACATGTAAATTACTTATGGCACTTGACCTACTTACACAACTTACAAGTTAACTTAGGAAACTTAACTGTTTAATTGTAGCTCCAAGTAACATAAGTTAAATATAAGTAACTTGCAAGTTTTTTAAGTTATTTTAAGTTTTTTTGAACATGAAAAGAAAGGTATTTTAGCAGTTTTTTCTTCATCATTGCGTTTTGCATTTTTATTTTTTGTGTTGAAGAAACCTTTGTTTCGTAAGTTTTCTTCGAATTTCTTTGCTGCACTTGAAAACTTGATGATGTTTTTAAGGTTTGGGTTGGACAATCTTAATTTGGAAAAAATGAAATGAGAGAGTTGCTGCCCAAAGGGCCGCAGGATAGAACATCCACGGATGACCAAAGGCGTGCGATGTGCTATTCAAATTCGGTTTGGTTTCATGGTTCATGCTAAGATGAGCGCTTTAAGTTAGGTTAGGTTATAAGAGGTTAGGCATAGGTTATAACCTGTTATAACCTAGGTTTAAATTGTTATATCCTAGGCTAAGTTTGGTTAACGTATGATAACCTACAAATAGTTATAAAAGGTTAGCAGAACTTACTAAGTTCTGGTAAGTTTTATGTTGAAAAATAGCAAAAAAACTTAGTTTAGGTTAGCAAAAAACTTAGCTAAATCTCCGAAATCCAACGAATCATGAAAATGGATCAAAATGTCTCAAATATCAGTCTAAAATAGGTCGCAAGATGAGGTTTCGTTCAAAATCATTTGAAATCATCCAAAAACAGTAGTCGTTCATGTTTTCGCAGCCGCACAGTTTAGAAAAAACGCGAACAGCGCAAAAGCACCCTGCGCGCATGGCCCTGCAAGATTACATAGAATTGCTTCCAGACTACATCGGACGCAAACCCGCAGAGTACCCCAAAGTTTTGAAAGATTTGAGCGACAAATTGGAAAGGGAAATTGACAATGATGCTACTTTGCAGATCGTGCTCGGTATTTTGAATCAGCAAACGGCTCTCTGGAAGGACGCTGACTTGCAATCTTTGCGTGCAGCAGCCCATCGTGGCTTGCATGTGGCGGAACAACGTCGCAAGCAAGGGCAGACTCAAGATTATCGTACTTTCCTAGCGTATTTGCCGGAAAGCCTTTGGAAGCAAATCCAAGCATGTGATCAAGATTATAATGTAGCTATCTTGCTGGCATCCTTTCTGACGCGTCTGGGATTGCGAAATCCTAGCGAACAATCGACGTTGAAGCTGACTGCCTTTGTGCTTGCCGTGAGCAAGGCAGATCACTCCAAAGATCAGCCAGAAGATTTGCACCGTATGTTTTTGAGTATGAAGAAGTTGTTGAAGAGTATCATTGCATCCGCAAAGACGCCAATGTCTAAGCCGCCTTGGATGCCGATATTACCAGCCGCACCCGAGCTGTGTAACCGTCTCTGGCTGCACGAAGGACTGGGTGTGGAGCAGCCTATGGCGCAGCCACCAATTTCGAATGAGATGTTAGCATATCATGCGGGTCGTGTTCAAATGCGAAAGTCCAGCAAAGCTTTAGGTTCAATGTATCGTGATCACCCTACTAGCGCCGGTGGTTCAGCATGTTCTAGTGGGGATAGCAATCCTTGGCAGATGATGGGAGATGTGATGAAATCAGCCATGCATATTGTAGCCCAAAACCGTGCGGGTGAGCCGACTCAAGCGAAGATCCAGCTGCTGACAAGTCCACGAAAGAAAGAACTGCTGGCAATTGAAGATGTCAAAGACAAAAACCAGCAGCTTGCTTCTGGAGTTTTAGACACAGCACCCCGCAGTTTGCTGGGTGCATTTGAATCAATATCTGGAAAGCCAGAAAACCAGGAGGCGTCTGCGACACATACTTCAAGCTCAGCCAAGGCAGATGCTGCTAGTCTGCAACAGAGCCTGGCTTTGCAAGCTGCCGTGGATGAAAGAAAGCAAAATGCTAGTGTCTCACCAAAAAGCAAAGGAATGAAGCGTCCGGCAAGCAAGATGGCAAGTAAGACTGAGTCTGATGCAGCGAAACCTGGACTGAAACGTCCAGCTGCGGCCGTGAAATCAAATTAAAAAAAGACATCGAAGGCGTTGTACAAGCGTCCTGCGGGAAAGATTGAGTGCCCAGATATTCTTGATGCGAAAAACCGTGTCTTGGTTTCTGGCGAATATCGGCAGAGCAATTATTTGAACGGTTGCTCCAAATGCAGAAATCGCAAAGGGTGCACACCTTCGTGCTATCGATATCGCAATGAGATGAACAAATTTTGAACGGTACAATAAAATTACTTTGTGGAACTCATGCGAGCATCGCATGTCTGGTGACCCCTCGTGGTCACCAGCATGTGCTCTGCGATTTTGCACAACATGTTTAGTGGCCCTTCGTGGTCATTAGCATGTGCTTTGCCAAGGAATGCGTCACATGTCTAGTGGCCCCTCGTGGTCACTAGCATGTGCTCCGCCAGGGAATAGAACACATGCCTGGTGGCCCCTCGTGGTCGCCAGTGTGTGTTTTCTGTGCTGCCTGCTACTTAGGATATCACAAGCAAAATCGATTTCGCAACGGGAAAATTGAAAAATATCATGTATAAAATTATATAATCTTATGTATTGATCTGTATTGATGT